TAAACGGCAATAGAGATCTATCACCTTTGGTAAGAATAGTGGCATAGTGGCATAGCGAAGACAAGGTTTGCTAGCTTCAACAAGGTTCCAAACAGCAGGAGTCAATATAGTACGCAAGTGAGAATAATGAGAGTAATGCCACGAAATATGTTCCACATTCCACATCCATGACGCCACCGACCGAACAATCGCAATGGGTTTCCTTCCTGTGCATATGCGTGGAAATGACATTCTGCGTGAACAAACCACCACTTAAAAGCAATCGAAGAATAGCGGCACGTTGCCGGCAATCCTCTTGACAAGGGGTGGGGTCAACATTGTCTGCAGACCAACCATCTTGCTGAAGTTGAAATAAATGCGCCAAGGTTTCATCTCGCAAAACACCAGTTTCAACAGCGCGAAAAACAGGACGGTCTCTGGAAACTTTGACAAACTGAGCATGCCTCCAAGTGCCACGCGCTTCATGAATCCATTGGTTGAAATCCACATTGCAGTTCTGAAGCAAAGAAGTAATGATACCAGCAAAATCGTCCATAGAATCCACCTGCCGCAAAAAAGTGATAGGACCATCAACAGGCGGAGGTTGAGGGGAAAAGAAAGCTGCAGTGACAGCAGACCACCGATCACTTGAACGCAAAGTACGCCAAATGGTGATAATACCATCCATAACGCGACAGAATTGGGCAAAGAGAAGGAGAAGCCAAAAGAGCGAAGTAAATGCCAGGACTGACAAACATATTTGCCACGACGAAGAAGGCAACGCAGAATACCAGAACGCAACGTATTTAATTCATTATTGTGACTAGAAGTCATAACCAAAGAATGTGATCCAGTACCCCACGTAAATTGCGATCTTGTACGTAACAAGACTGCACAACGCGAAGCCCAAGAGATCGGCAAGTGCCGAGAAGCTGTAATTGTGCAAAGCCACCGTTTCAATCGCTTGACTTCCAAAGCAGTTGAAGTCACATTCTGAGAGTCATGAAAAACATCGAAAAACCACAGAGCCGCCCAAAAGCCGAAATTCATCACAGTGCTGCAAGTCAGGTTGCCATTGACCTTTTACACATTGATTTCCAAAAGAGAAGGACTTGCTGTGGTTCATTATGCCACCGATAGCAGCAACAAAAGCAGATGACACATCCGCAACTGATTGCACAACTTCACGAGTGATTTCATCATTTGATCCTGAAACAGTAACTGATACATCATCAACATATGCACGAGGGAAAGATTGAGGCGCCTGAGAACTGACAACATGAAGCCAAATATTGATCACAGCGTTCATGGAAATCATCGACAAAGGGCAGCCTTGAAGAATTCCCCCATAAATAGGCTGAGCCTGATCCAAATGTTTCCCAAGTTTAAACCGGCGTGTAGCTGAACGTAGCATACCAATATATGGACGCCATACACAAAGAGGCATATTCATACGCTGCAAGATACATGCAAGCAATTCACGAGGAACACGATCAAAAGCCTTTGAAAGATCAAATGAAAGACCAGCAACTTGTTGATCCGTGGGACACAATTCCAAATCCGTACGAACTGCTAGGAAAACAGCTTCAGCACCACGATTAAGGCGGCCACCCCACAAGCCAGGATGAGCCCATGCTTCTTGCCAATCCTTTGCGAGTTGTTGTGCGCGCAAACGGGCCCAAACCCGATAGATTGAGCTAAGCACAGTAAGCGGCCGCAGGTCACCAGGATTGTCAACAGAAGCGCCTTCTTTAGGGATCAAAGTTGTAAAGCCTGCGATGAGCGCAGAGGGCCATATGCCTGTGTCTTCAATACATTGTAGCAGTGAAGCCAGAGAATCGAAAACCCAAGGAGCACCATGTGCAAGCAAATGAAGATCACTCTGATGCCATCCATCAAGACCAGGGGAAGTAGGAGTAATGGAAAGACACGCTTTGCGCAACATGACGCCAGTGAGAACAGGGACAGAAGAAGGTCCAGAAAAAATAAATTGATCATATTTGTCAAAAAAACTCCGTTGCTGAAGGTTCGCAGTTTTTGAACAACTCATGAACCGATTGCCAAGCTTGTCGTACTGCACCAAAGAGGGATTTGACATTTGCTGTGCGTTCACCATAGCCATTATCAAAACAAATTGTAGATTGTAGAGGCGCACGTTTGATCCAAGCGTTTTGCGCCTTCACCGATTTCTGAAGGCGGTGTTTCCATTGCTTAATACGTTGAAAACGTTCCAAGCCTGCTGGATCCCAGAAGTAGTAGGGGCTTGAAGCAGCCACTGCGCATACAGCGACAGGACTGCCGTGCACAATCCGATACCGGCGCGAGGTAGGGCAGGTCCGCCTGAAGAGGACGCGAAATGTGAAACATGTGATGCTGTAGGTGAAACATGCGCTGTCTCTGGGACTGAGTTAGCATTTGGATTGGTGTCAATTTTAGTTTTACCGCGTATTCGTCGACGCGGCTGCTAAAGAGATTCAGGATTTTCTTTATCAATAGTGTTAGGCTGTGGATGAGGAATTTCGGTGTTGACTGCATCGGGTTGGTCGAATTTTTTGACCCAGGCTGGGGCAGGAGCGCTTGATTTGGAGGTTCTGCAAAGTGATTTGGGTAAATTAGCATGGCGCCTGCACCATGGCCATGTACGCTCGCACTTTTTGCAAAAGATTAGGCCGTAGGAGTTGGGATTTTTTTCATCTCGGCCGGTTAGTCTATTCATGTCTATTCCAAATTAGGTCATGCCCTGCTTTGTTCAAATCTTGTAGCTTCTTTTCTGCCTGGGCTAGACGGCTTTGTGCCTGCTGCATACCTGGTTGCGTTAACCATTGGCCGTTCGGCAGATTTTTGAATTTGCACGGCCTCTTTAATTTTTGTTTAAAAGGATGTGCTTCATGTAAGTGGTATATATATTCCACATTTTACGCAGAACATTCCAGTGCCTTCAGGCATTGGCTGAAGGATATGACCTTTTTTTCGGGTGGTAGCGTGCTGCTGCTAGCGGCTGATGGCTCTAGTTGAGATGAGGTCGGTTGCGTAGGGGGTAAACATTGTATGGAGTCTTGTTCTTGGGAATTATGCCAGTCTTGGATATGTCGCTGCCAAATATTGACAAGTGAAGTTTGGATTTGGTGAAGATGACGTTGCGTGATAGTTATGTTTTCAGGGACTAGGGTGGTGTATTGAAAACACATAGGAAAAGATTCTATGGGTCTGGATAATGCTGCAAGGGCTGGCGCTCGGAGATCTTTGAACAATGGACACTCCCATGATGAAATGTGATGATTAGTGGGATTGCCGCCGCAACCACAGGTTATAGCACCTGGAAGCTTGCGATGCCTATGATTAGCCTCTGGACTAAGCAAACCGCCTACCAAAAGGAGTCGGAGAACTTTTATGCGGGGACGAGGATCTGAAGAAAACTCCGGCGGAACACAACGGCCAGCATCGATGTCGGCCTGTAAACGACCAGCTTCGGCAGACCACAATTCAAGTAAAGAAGTCGACAAATTCTTTTGAATACCGTGTTGTGCACCTGCAAAGGTTTGTGGTCTATCTCAGGCAAGGTTGTTCCACACATATTTCCTCCAGCTTTGTCGAAGCTCATGAGGGTGCTGTGGCGACAAAGGTCTGTTGTTGAGAATTGATTGGACAGTATCGCGAAATGCATCATGTTGCAATAGCTCAAAAGCTCTGGCCGCAGGGCCATCATGTGCTGGGAGGGTGGCACCTACGATTTGAGTAAAGTGCTGATGATCACCTGAAGCTTGCAAAGCTTGTTGAAGCAAACGAATGGCGTTGCTATGCAAACAAAACTCCGGGTCTAATGAGCGAGGAGCTAAACTTGTAAAAACTGCCATTGGCGAGGCACAATAGTCATCTGCATTTAGCAAACATCGAACGGTGTCTCCCCTGAGCGTTCTTAATTGAAGCTCAGCTAATTTATGTGTTCCATGTCCCCAAGAGAGCTGCGTGCTTCGCTGCTGCAAAAGCTGAACCTTAGTGAACCATCCTACTGGAAGACCACGAATTGCTTTTGTGGCGGCATTCCATTTGGAAGCTCGTTGCTTTTCGAGTTCAGTCCAACATCTTTCCTGGGAAACTTTGACTACTGCACCAGTAAGACGAAATGCATCCTTGTGATTTGGAATGGATGGAAGCAATTAGTTAGGCAGCGGTGTCCGAAAGTAAGAGTTTTTCTTGATTTATTTTTAGGCCAGCGCCTTGTGCGAAATTTTGTGTATGGGAGTGAACTTGGCGGATGGAATCTTTAAGTTGGCTTTCGGTGCGTTGGGCGACAGTGGCTGACAGGTCGTCGGCGTAACTGCGCGGGTGAAGATTGTCTCTAGTTATGTTGATGGATTCATGCCAGCATGCGGTTAGGCTGGTGAGGATTAACATGCTGAGGGGACATCCTTGGATTATGCCATTTGTGGGTACAAAAGGTTGATCATATTGTCCGTCAATTTTAAACATTTTGTAGTGATTACGATAGAAATTATCCAAAGTCCTGCTGATTTTTTCATCACAGCCTCTCATTCTTAAGAGATTTATGGCTAGGCGGAAAGGGACTCGGTCGAATGCTTTCTCAAAGTCATAGCTTAGGCCACCTGACAAGAGTTTGTCACGAATAGCTTGTTCAATGTTTCGACAGGTACTTTGGAATCTGTTCGAAGTTATGGATTTATAACGTAAGTTATATTTGCGTAAGTAGGTATATAATATAATTTATAACTGGTCATCTTGATCTTAAGCGGGTTAACTTGGTTATAACCTCAAGTTTTTTTTGGATGATTTATAAGTGGTTTAGGAGGTTATAATTTAGATAACTACAAAAGCATTTGAACTTAGCAGGAAGTTAGGATGAAGTTAGGAAGTTAACTTTTTTAATGTTTTTTGAGACCCTTGTTTGCAAGCAAGTTTTTTTCTGCGATATTTTGGCTGGTTGGATGTCAACAGCCTTTGTGTGAAAATCGACAATTGGATTCATCGGTTCAAGTTCTCGCGGCCGTTTCGAATCGCGAGCCATGGCGGCTGCGTTGGAGTCGCATGTGAGGGCAGCGCAAAAATTTTTGACGAGCGTTCGGCATCTTCCGTCATTCAAAGAAGCTCGGAACAAGCAAGTGGAGCTTGTCGCCAAGAAACTGGCAGCTAACCCACTTTCAGTGGAGCAAGCAGCCAGTCTGGTTGCGTTGTTAGATGACGGAATATGGGAAGAGCATCTGGACGGATTGAAGGGATTATTCTGCCTGACGGAAGGAGGAGGCAAAAAAAATGCGCCATTGCAGGATTACTTGGCGATGCCTCACTATTTGACAGCTGCCATGTGGAAAGTTTTGTCGGAGGATCAACGTTCAGTTGCTCTGGAAAAATTGTGTCGCCACTTGAGAGCCTTAGGGTTGAAGAACCCTTCAGAGGTCACGCAGGGCATGGTGCTTTGCCTTGTGTTTGATTTGGAGGGTAATTTGTTGGGCACACAACAATGGGCCGTCACCCTGCGAGAAAAGGCAAATGTGCAAAAGTATTTGAAGCAGGCATCACATGGACCTTTCTTGATCAATTTGCCACATGATCGCTCGGAATGCTCATCGGAAGTGATGCAACGGGTATTTGGCGATGAGGAGCCAATGGATTGCATTGTTCCCTACGAGGACTTGCTGGCCCGCGCCAAGGATTGGCCGATGCGCAACACGCATCGCTTTGCCCAAGGGAAGCAGCAGCACCTGGGACCTGTGTTGCCTTCCGGTGAGGGTGGCGATCTGATGAACCAGATGGGTCATTTCGTCGCTGGTCTAATGAGAGGCCAATCTCACTCTGACGCGTCTTTGCCTGGCTTGAAATTTTTTTCCAAAGAAAGGAAGGAAGAACGGAATGTTTCTGCGCCAGCTTTGGCTTTGGAGGACAAGAAAGCCGAAGTTTCCTTGGAGCCTGCAGCTGAAAGTACGGTCAATATAGATCGCAAGCCTTCCGGCGAGGATGCCGTTGCCAAGACATTGCAGGCTTTGCAATGTGAGCTGCAGGACAAACCCGCTGTTGAGGCATCTGGGAAGACGGGAAAAGGGAAAGCAAAGAACAAAGTGAAGAAGCCAACCGCGAAGAAATCGCAAGCTACAAAGAAGAAGCCTGCAGCTGCACTTCGTCGCCCGGCTGCTTCCGCGGCTAGCGCGCGTGGCACCGCGCGTGCTGGAGAATCTCGTGAGGCAAGACGTCTGCGGCTGATCAATGTGTTTGTGCCCAAACACATACAAGCGGAGTATCGCGATGGCTGCAGCAAGTGCTATTACCGAAAGGGGTGCACATTGTCTTGCTGGAAGCTGAGGGGTTTCGAGATGAGCGACTAGATGTCGTACCACAAGCGCAGGCATAAAAAAAAAGGGCAATTGAGATTCAAGTTGCTTACTGCATGTGCAGTGAAACTGATCTCCGTGTATCAACTCGGTATAAGTATAGAGACCACGAGCAGTGTGTGTTGATGCTCTTGATATGTGTCCGCAGCCGTTTTCAAGTGGTTCGAACCAGGAACGGCCTGTACGGGGAGGTCGCGTTGGAGGCCGGGTTTGTTTTGTTTTGGTCGTGTTTTCAGTAGTTGGGCGATTGTACAATGTATTTTTTCTGATACAGTAGTATATATATATATATATATATATATATATATATATACGACATGAGCATGCTCATGAGTGAATAGCTGCTGCGGCCGCTGCGCTGCCGGGAGCCATGCGTTGCGCTGCTCTATATGTCCTACGCGGCTCACGGTATCCTACGTGGATACTTGTGTCCTACGTGGACACGATGCCAGCATGGCAAGTCCTACGTGGACTGTCCTACGTGGACTGAGGTTAGCTTCTTCGACCCACGTGGTCACCTCCACATTGACCTACGAGGTCAAGCCCCTACGTGGGGAATAGTCCTACGTGGACGTTGACCTACGTGGTCACTTCTCCATTGACCCACGAGGTCAAGCCCCTACGTGGGGAAAAGTCCTACGTGGACGTTGACCTACGTGGTCACTTCTCCATTGACCTACGAGGTCAAGCCCCTACGTGGGGAAAAGTCCTACGTGGACGTTGACCTACGTGGTCACTGCTCCATTGACCTACGAGGTCGAGCCCCTACGTGGGGTAAAGTCCTACGTGGACAGTGACCTACGAGGTCATGGATTGGTAAGTCCCACGTGGACAAGCAGGATGCCTGCCACAGTTCCTCGCCAGCGGGGCGTGGACGAGCTTCTGCATTCTTCTTCTGTCATCCGGCCTTTCCGGTTGTTTCATGATATGGAAATATAATTTATATATATATAAATATGAATAATATGTATGGGATATAAAGTATTATATAGTGTTTTGTTGGATGTCGTGCGATTGTCGTGTGTTTGCATTGCATGTCATGCGATCGATTCCTGCTGCAGGTGAACGCATGCCGCGTGGCGCTAAAGTGTCGCCTTTCTCTCCAGCTGCTGACTACGACAGGGACACGAGTGAAGAGAAAAGCGACACAGAAGAGGCGCCGGCGAAGTCAGACGAGGGAAAGAAGTCTGAGAAGAAAGAACGTGCCCGTTCCAGTGGTCGTTCGAGGAGATCGCGTAGGCGATCACGCAACGCCAAGCTGGGACGTGATCCTAGCCACTCGTACAACAAGCGCAGGCAGGAAAGAAAAAGGAGACGTGCAGAAGGGCATGGACGCCGTCGGCGGGGTCGGGAGCACAAGATAGAAGACAAACGGCGCCGCTCAGAAAGCTCTGAGGCCAAGCAGGCAGCCGCGGCCAAGCGGGTGTCCCAGTCAGCGGTACGTCCGCGCAGCCCTGCCTGGGATCCGGACAAACCCCGCACAAAGCCATGCAGCCATTGCGGGTATGAGATCACGACGCAGCAGAGCGGCCGCTTGCAGCACCAATGGGCCAGTCGGAATTGTTTGACATGGCAATTCTGGAACCAGCTGGATGAAGGGATCAAGAAAAACAATCCAAAGGCAGGCTGGGACAAGGCCAAAAAAGCAGCCTTTGCTCTCTATGAGAGACGTCGAATGCAGGCGGCACCATACCAAGCTGCTGGCGAGTTGGCGCCCCCGCCGCCTTTGCTTCTTCGCTCCCGCGCTAGCGTTGCGCGTAGCTCAGAGCCGTTGGAAGAACTGGAAGAAGTTAGGGTTGAAGAAGAGCCCGCTCCGACAGCCACACGGAGGAGCCGCGCGCCAAGCGCAGCGCCTGCCTGCGTAGCGCCGCGCGCAGAGCAGGGGCATGCCCCCCCTGCTGCTGCGACTGGCCCAGCTGGCCCTGCTGTCCCTGCTGGCAGTACGACTGCCCAAGGTGCTGCTGTGGGACAGAAACAGCAGATTGTCATCAACATCAACAGCAGCTGAGACGTGGATGCGCGCCAAACAGACTCCAACAAGCGACCGGTGAAAAAAAGGTTGGGCGAACAGGGTCGGATTCCTCGTGTGTATATATATATATATATATTATATTTCCTTTAACCTGCTTTTTTTTAATATGATGCTATAGGGGGTTTGATAGTAACAATGGCATATGTAGTCTATGCAGAAATCTGGCTCGACCGTAAACAAACGGGAAGCATGCCTGCCGCTAGCATGATATTGGAAGCAAGCGCCGCAAACAAGAATGACTTGACCATGCAAGTGCCAGTTGCCAGACTGCGCACGCTCCGCGACCAAGTGCAGCATCAGTTTGGATTGCCAGACGCGCTAGGTGCCAGCGCTGCTTGGTTCATATTCTGCGACACGATCACTGCCGTTTTGACTGTGGCAGAGTGTCATGCTGCCTTGCGCGGCGAATCTGACGTGGAGGCACAGATCATTCGACTGAAGAGCCTGTTTGTTTTGACCTTCAAGTGCTCCATGAATTGGCACGGAATGGAAGATGATGAAGTTGTTCGCCTTCGCTGCTTCCGGTCCAGCTGGGATGCTGATGCGCTGGCACGTCGGATGGAACCCGACGATGATGGCGTATCCTTTGTGGAGAAAGCCCAGGTGGCTTTGGACCACCTGCAGTCGCTTCAGGAAGTTGCAACGCAGCTGCCGGAGTGTACTTGGTGCCACACCGCAAGGTCAGAAATCAGCATTTTACAGCGCAAAGAGCTGCGCTGAGTTGCTGTCTCGCCTTGTCCGCGAAGTGTCCGCGTTTGTCCGCGATTGTCCGCGATTTCGATCGGAGAACATTTTGTCCGCGGCAAAAAAGTGTCCGCGGATCCCAAACTTATAGATTCGGGAAGGTTTTTTGTCCGCGTTTGTGTCCGCGAGCACTCGTGGGAAACATTTTCAGCAAACATGTGTCCGCGCAAGTGTCCGCGATAGTGACATGTATAAAATGCTCTCCCATCCATTTGTCCGCGGCCCCAGACCTAAATCTCTAATTTTTAGAACCCCTTGTTTGCTGAGGCTGCCAAAAAAACGCGCATGTCTGTGTTTGTAGCCACGGTTGCTGATGCGTTATAAGGGTTCTCGTTTATAGAGAAATTAAGCCATGGCGGATGAAACTGCGGCTGCTGCGGCTGGCGCATCTTGCTGCTGCTTTCTGTGCGGACTTATGTACGACAGCTCTGCCGGACGCACGCATGGCGTTCGCTTTCAGTGCTATGGCTGCAATGCTGCTGACAAAATGCTGCGACGCAACCTTGGGAGCCGTAAAGAACTTGAATCAATACCGGATGAAAGCCAAAAGGCCTTTTTCCAACGTCTCCAAGAAGAAAAAAAGTCCGGAGGCAAGCAACTCCCATGGAAGACCGTGCGGGCACAGCTGATAGCTCTCCAGACGACGCGGCATATCAGTGAGACGACGTCTGACATCACGACGGAAGAATTGCCGTTGACTGTTTGGGAAACGCGAGGCTGGCCGAAAGAAACGGTCGAGGCATGCCCTCGCGAGTGCAGTGAAACTCTGAAACTGTACTTGTACAAGGTGCCAACAAAGAAGGTTGTTTGGAAAGAAATTCACCAGCAGGTCAGCGAGCGAATCCTGAAGCAGGAGCAAGAAGCTTGCAAGGCCCGGCGAAAGAAAGGGAAGAAAGCAGGTTCCGAAGATGACATGGACCTGCCTGAGGAAGTCGAACCAGAAAAAGATGCGCAGAAGAACGAAAAGAAAGAGGAGAAAGCTGCAGAAGTGGCTGCGCGCAAGACGCAAAGTGCTAACAATAAGAAGAACATGTTGGCAGCCAAAAGCATCGGACAGTTGAGCAACGATCTGCAAGCCATGGAGAAAGCTTACAAGAAAGTGTCCAACCTGCCGGACAATGTGGAAGCCGCATGTAAGGATGCAATGGCAAAGGTGGAACTTTGGGTGGGAGCTGCAAAGTCAACCATGCAACTGGCCGAGGATGAGCGTGCCAAGGCTGGGGAAGTGGCGCTGCCGGAGCTTCCTTACGACATGGTGGAGGTACGCACCTTGCACCAAACTTGCACGGAAGTCATCAAGAACTTGAAGCCTTACTTTCCTGCCCCGAAACCGAAGCCTGCTCCCAAGCGCAAGGCTGAAGCAGAGGAGAAAGGAGAGGACACAGGAAAGGAGAAACCTCCGACCGGCAAGCGTCTCCGTGGAAAGACAGCCAACTAAGAGTTGTGCGTCATCGCCTGGCATTTGCGGGGTGTGTCATATGTCAGGCTCCGCTGACTTGGCGCTCGTGTTGCGTCTTCACTGCTTGAAAGACTTTTGGACACGAGTGATGGCAGCGGCCTTGAAAAAAAAAGTTCGCTAGGGAGAGGACCGCGTCAAAGTGTTGTAATCATGATCGAGTTCGGTTGTTACTTCAATATATCCCATGAAAAAAAGGTATGTCGTATACATATATGATGAAAAGCTTTCCCTGGTTGGTTGTCTAACGTCTCACATCTGTTCGCGTAGAATGATAGATTAGTCGAACCATCTAGGTTCCATAAGGCTCGCACTTGAAGGAATTACCTCTTGCACGCAGCCGCGGCTCAAGTCGAACCATTTACCGAACCTAGATTCACAAGGTTCCATGCCAGCGTTGGTTGGTTACCAACTGACGGAAGAGGTTGTCCGTTTGTATAGCAACAATAAAGATATCGGTCGCTATCATGATGTTTCTGTCATGTTGTCTGGCCGTAAGCGGTCGTGGCAAGCAATGATGGATAGCCCAAGCGGCGAACAAACCACTGTCGAATATATTGCGTCATCCCAAGAGGATGTAGATGAGGCGCAAATCGAACCATGTGCCTCTCAAGAGCTCGCCAAAGCTGAGGATGTAGCATGAGAGCAACCCTTAGACCTGCAGAGATGATTGCATGAAATGCAGCTGAGAAAACAAGCCGTGCGAAGTCGCAATCAAATCAAATCGAGAAAACAAACACATAGTCACATAGGCATGTTTTCTGATTATAATGTTGTCGCAAAGGGATGACAAAATTGAATCATGTGAACCCTGAGCATGGAAGCGTCGTTCTGTCACGCACGCATGTCTTGTATCCGAAGCCGTTTTGGCAAAAGCATGCGCATGGAGTCCGAACAGAAAAAAAGGCGGCTGCTCGAGCAATCACCGGCAGAACAGTTTGCAGCTCTGAGGCAACTGAAAGGAGTAACGCCGGCAACATGCCGCAAAGTCATTGCAACGTTACGAGAAGATGGCGCTGGGAAACGTACCTGCCAGAGTCAGAAAGCATCTCATGCGCTATCCCAACCGTGTCTGAGGCATTTGGAAATCCCTGCCATAGAAGATGGCAACTTTGTCACCATGCCGTGCATGAGTTTGCCTGCGCTTGTGCAAGCCAAGGTAAACGCATGTGCCTTATACAAAGCCATGTTACATGAGGCCTGCCAAGCGCACAACGGAGAACTGACTATGGTGTTTTACACGGATGAGGTGACAGGCGGCAACGTGCTAAGTGCGCCGCAGGCTCGCAAGGCGAACCTTATCTATGTCAATTGGTTGGAATGCCCTGTGTTGCACATGGAGTCACAATGGCTGACGCTGAGCGTGTGCCGCAGCAGCGACATCAATGACATGCGTGGTGGCATGGCGGCCCTGGTGACGTCAGTGCTGAAGTTCATAGAGCGCGAGTGCGGCAGTGGCTTCCCGATCGCATGGTCCCAAAGAGATGTTGATCTCATACGCATCAAAAAGATATACATTCTAGCAGACGCAGAAGCTATCCGCAGCTGCTCTGGATGCAAAGGCCATGCAGGCCTGAAACCATGCGTTCAATGCATCAATGTGACTGCCATTGGGAAAGCCTCAGATGCAGAAAGCCATTATGATATCACATGCCCTGATATGTGTCTCTTTTGGCCCCAAACAGATGAAACGGTCAACGCAGCTGCCAACAGGTTGCGTGCAGAGAGAACGACCAAAGGCAGAAAGGACTGTGAAAAATTTCTGGGTTGGAATTGGGAAAACTTCCAAGAAGGTCCTCTCCTTGCGCCAGAGCTGTCCAAATGGATCTCAGTTGATAGCTTGCTGTACGACAGCATGCATATCTTCTTCAACAACGGACAAATTTGTCAGCTATTGGGCCAATGGTATGCAATTCTTGTGCAGCATACGACGTTCACCCTGTGCCATTTGCAAACGTATGCATCGCTTTGGACCCAGGTTCGGGGCAGTCCTGCTGCGTGCGGCCCAAAACCCGCTAAGTACTTCAACGCAAAGCTGTGGCGTGCTGATGGTGACTTCCGTCGTGACGCGGATGCTGCTGCTGCTGTGCTGGCCCTTGTGGTTGCCTTTTGTGAAGAAGTCTTAGTCGTGGAAGACAGTTTGACACCGTACATCGAATCCATGCAGTGCCTACAAAAACTAGTCTGCTGCATTTGGGCATGCAAAGTTTCGCCGTCAGCTGCGCTCCAACTAGATGAACTGCAGAAGAAACATTTTGCCGCATATGCAAAAGCATGGTCAAGAGAAACTATGCGGCCCAAGTGGCATTATGGATTGCACGTGCAAGCTCAAGTCCAAAGGTGCAACAAAATGCTTGACACGTGGGCCCTGGAAAGAAAACATATTTTTTTCAAAAAATTAATTACTTTACTTCGTGTGATCCCCACCATGACATTTATACATTTTCTTACTGGCAAATCTTCTGGCATTCTATCTGACATATCTTCTGACATTCTATTTGACATTCTATCTGGCATATCTTCTGGCATATCTTCTGACATCTTTCTGACATTCTTTCTAACTTTTTCTGACATTCTTTGTCCCATATCTTCCTACATGAGGTCCGGCAGGGAACAATGGCGTGGATACTCGCGGTTGAGGTCCGGCAGGGGAACACTGGGCGTGGATGGTCGTGGTTAGGTCCGGCAGGGAAACACTGGGCGAGGATGGTCGTGGTTGAGGTCCGGCAGGGAACACTGGGCGTGGATGGTCGTGGTTGAGGTCCGGCAGGGAACACTGGGCGTGGATGGTCGTGGTTGAGGTCCGGCAGAGAACACTGTGGATCGCGGGTCGCAGTTGAGCAAGGACGACGAGGACGACGAGGACGACGAGGAGGAGGAGGAGGACGAGGAGGAGGAGGACGAGGAGGAGGAGGAGAAGGAGGAGCAGGAGGAGGAGGAGGACGAGGAGGCAACTGACATAAAATCTAACAACCCTCACCTGGCAGGTGGGGAACTACAGGAAATTGGGGATTTGCACCAACTTTCTCTGTCTCAGCTCTGCTGGAACTATCCACGGCTGACCTGCAAGAATCCCATGACGTGAGTTGGTTGGATTCAACGTTGCTGGGATCTTCTGTAATTAAGAATTTGTCTGGCCTCCCCTATCCCTGTGAAATGAGCAATGGTTTGGTTGTGAAAGGCGTCAAATACCTTCGAGACCAATATTTGTTGCTGGGCTCCTGCACTGCTGCGCAAGTGCTCGGTGGAATCAAAACTGCAAATGCAGATTTGTTCCTGTCGGTTTAACTATTAACGCCTGTGCAAACACAACCCAGCTACCGCACACGTTGGAAAAAAACATACTGAAGCACAAGCCTGCGCGCTAGTAGATCCAAACGACTTGAATAACAACATTCGAGTCATGTACTATAGGATCGAAGATGATAACATGCTGTCGCTTCTCTGCTGAAAAAAGTGCTCAGCCAGCAGTTTTCATGCCAAACTCATTTTATAAGCAAAAACATACAAAAAAGTTAGGAAGTTAGCAAGTAGGTTAAGATGGACTTAACTTGAACTTATGTAACTTCATCTTAACCCTAGTTATAACCTCTTAACTTCGAAAAGAATCCAAAGTATGGTACGTGAGGACCTCTGCGGAAGGTGTGTTTTTAGCACCATACACTCCATCCGGGAGCCATTGAGGCAGCCAGGCCTCTGCGAGGTGCGAATGTCGTACAGCCAGGCCTGCTGGATCTGAGAAGTAGTAGGTGCATGCCTGAGCGCCCAAGCATACCGCCTGGTCCCTCATTGCAGTGCGATGTTCATCCCACACCTGTTCGGGGCATGGATGAACTGGATGCAGTTTCACTACTGTTGTTTGGGGCTCTATACGACTGCTTGCCCACAAGCCGATGTCGTCGGGCGAGCACAGGTAGATTGGGTTGGAGTAGCTCAGTGCAGAAATCAGGTAGTTTCAACATCTGTGGATCCGCTAGAATCATTGACCCACTGCGGAGGTAGTGGAGATGGTTGTCCAGGTGCACATTTTGTGGAGGGATCATTATATCGTTGGCTCCATGCCCACTCCTTTCCACAATTTTGACACCAAAGTTTACCATATGTTTGTGTCTGCTTCCGATTTTTGCCAAATTTTTGGTTCCAATCATACTTATGACCAGCTTGGTTTTGTTTATGATGCAACTCATGCCATAGGTTTTCAAATCGTACAACATTATTCATGGCTCCTGGACTCGTGAGCCAATCGGACTGTGGTAGAGGGAATTGACATGGCTTGGAAAGAATTTTTGTCTCTGGTGCTTAAGTAAATTTGTGGACTTGCCGCACTTGCAGCAGAATACGCCACCATCAGGAATAATTTTGAGAACATGACCATTTCTGGGCAATGGTTCTGCTTCAACCACTTCAGCATCTTGCTGAGAGTTTTGAGATGTGTCATGTGTCAATAGGATTTTCGGATGCAGGAGGTTTGGTATGCGAAATTTCGAAAATTTTCAGGATTTTCATACCAATCATGAATGTAGGATTGCCAAATTGAAACTAGAGATTGTTGAATGATACGAGCTTGCTCTACTGGAATGTTCATCTGGTTTGGAACGAGAGCACACGCGACAAAACATTTGGGTAATTGGTCCAAAGGCATCGGGAGGTTGTCCAAGGCTGGCTGCCGGATGCGCACGAAACGCGGGCAATACCAGGAAATGTGTTACACAGACGGTTCACCCTGTTTGCATAGACAAACAACAGTACCATCCTTTTTCTTATGACGGTGCTGCCTCTCAGGGTTCTGTAGCCCCCCAGTCAAAAGGAGCCTGAGTACTTTAAGTTTTGCACATGGGTCTGCCTGTGGGTCATCTATCAGAAAATCTTCACGGTCACATTTTACTTCCAAAATATCTGCTTCGGCTATGAGTTCGTTGAGTAAAGCCAGTGTGCGAGAACGATCCACACCATGCCATGTGCCAGCAAAATGCTGAGCTCGATCACGACAAAGTACTTGCCAAGCATTTAACCGATAATCTTCTCTTAGCGAATGCTGCCATTTTGAAGGATGAAGGGTCTGGTCAAGAAAAGCTACAACAATTTTGGCAAAGACTGGGTGGTGTTGCAGTTGAATTAAACGCGTGATGGGTCCGTCAATATTTTCATTATGTCTATGGATCTTTCTTTGTAAGTCAGTGATCTTCTCACTGGTTTGGAATGTGCGTCGAATCAGGTTGAAAGCTGCTAAATCAAGGGCGAAAATGGGATCTATGCTTGGGGGAGTTAATAATGAAAAAACCGCATTCGGCGAGAAATTACAATTGTCAGCATCTAGCCAGGTGCGCATGACAACAGCTCTCATGGCTCCGCTGGTTTCTTTGGAAACATGAAGAGCATGCATCCCTTGACCAAAGGTAAGTTTTGGCATCATGCTTTGGATAACCTGGGACTTGTGTTGCCAACTGACTGGTAATACTTTTATGCGTTGCACGGTTTGCTCCCAGCTTGCAAACCGTTGCTTTTCAAGAGGGGTCCACATTGGGGCTGGAGTAGTTTTGACACTGCATCCTACCAACCGAAAGGTGGTATTGTGCTCTGTGATTGGGGGAACACATTGCTTAAAACAAGAAGCGCCAAATGTGAAAGTTTTCTTCATGTTGATTTCCATGCCAGCTAATTTTGTGATTTTTTCAGTGCTCTTATTTCCAAGATTGAGTTGATCATGAACAGTCTTTTTGGAAGTGCCTTCAGTTACTATTGAAAGATCATCAGCGTATGATATACTGATCCTAGAAGGAATACTACCCTGGCTTTTTTCGGGCCAACAGGTAACAAACGACGTGAGTAATATCATGGATAAAGGGCATCCCTGTACTACCCACACAACGGCTTAAAGGCATGTGTGTGTGATCGCCTTCAAGACGGAAGTGCTTATTGTGGGTTTGGTAGAATGCTTTGAGGGTGCTTACGACACGAAGATCGGCTCCGCGTGCTGCAAAGACATCTAATGCTAACATGTATGGGATCGCGTCGAAGCAAAGAAAGGCCAGCAGCAAATTTGCCATTCCGCACAGCCTGCTCATATTGCAAGCACGTATCTAGAGCAAGTTGATCAGCTGAACGAGATTTTTTGCCACCATACGAACTTGGATGTTGCCAGTGGGGGTACCAGCCAGCAACAAGATCGGAATGTCGGACGGCCGACCAAACTCGGTAGAGAGTACCTATTAATGTTATGGGTCTAAATTCATCAGGTTTAGGTTGAGGATTATCCGTATCTTTGGGAATAAAAGCGACCACACCTTTAGTTAAATTTCTAGGCCAACGAGCGTGTGTCTCTATGGCAGTCAGTAACAAAACAAGGGTGTGAACCAACTGTGATGACCAGCGAAAAGCAACCTTTAGCTCAGAGATCAAAACTTGATCTAAACCTGGGGCGCTATTAGGCATTTGATCCAAAATTTTGACGACTGCGGTGGGCTCAATGGGACGGAGATTTACAACCGACCTTTTCATCGTGGGTCCATATTCTTCCATAAAGGAACGAAATGATGGTTCTCCATGCTGGTGATTGGAGTAAATATTCTTCCAGACTTCAGTGATACTGAATAAACGATCATGTATGTTGGCAGTTCATTACTTTAACTGGCGTACTAGCCGCTTTAGCGCGCAAGTAGGAGAAGGGCTTTTTTTGGTCAGACCGCATATCACGCTTCCAGCATAGTAGAATTCTTTGTGAACGATCATTACGTTGCGCCTCTTCCAGGGCTCTGTCAATTACGGCAAGAGCCTCACTGAAATTGTGCGATTCCACTGATTTTGAAAATGTAGTGACATGTGACTCAGGTAGCCACGGTTTGACCTGTTCCAAGTTTTTGATTGTGCGTTCACGTCGGATACCAGGAACCGCAACTAAGATCTCTTTGAGTCGACAGTACGCTTGCCAAATTTTCCTTGTTTGTAATGTGCTTGCTTGCTGTCGTATGATTTTGGGATGTGCGCGTTGTTCATGAAAACAAATTTGACGACGCTTAGCTGTTCCTCTATAGACAATGGCTGTGTCTGCGATACGTCGGCAAATTGAAAAAGAATTCGTTCAAATTCCTGCGTCCAGAGCTTGAATGTCCGATCAACGTCTTTTGCATCAATTGCATCATAGAAGGACTGTGGCAATTGTGTGGGCAATACTTCCGAATTTTTGTCTGCATAGGCTAATTCTGGGAATTTTGTAACGGATCTTAAATTTAGTATGGATTGCGACGGAGTGGGGAGCTTAATTTAGGTGGTGATGAATGAATGTGATCTTTTTGAATTCCGTCAATTTCTGCACATGAAAATTAAACGACATGTCATTGGGAGAAACAAAAATATGGTCAATTCGTGAGCCGTCTTTACCTTTGTGACAAGTAGGTTTGGACTGCATTTCAAAGGAGGAGTGATCACGTGTGTCACACCAATATCTAGAATGCAAAGCGAAACGCAAGTTGTGAGGGTCGGAAATTTCTGGGTTAAAATCACCAAGTAAAATCGCTGGGATCGGTCCTTTGCTAGTGCGGTCCTCTTGGATTGCAGCGAGCATATTATGGAAATAAGCTTTCTTTGAGGGTTCCCAACATGCCCCTGAAGGTCCATAGGCCACATATGCAAGCAAGGAAGTCCCGCCTCGTCCAAACCATAGCTGCACCGCTAACAATCGAT